TCATCATCATCATCATCATCATCATCATCATCATCATCATCATCATCAGAGAAAGCCTGTATAGGACATGAGTAGTGAATAAAATGCTTTCTAAATGAAATGATTATGCCATCATGCAGTTTTGTGAGACCAGAAGACAACACAGTGTTGAGACTGAATATTCAACTTATTTCTTTTACGTTGATGTTGCATCTATCCCTGTGGAAGGCCTTAAAGTCTGTGCTAGTATCTGAAGACACTTAATGTAACATTATCTTTCTATGTCTATGACTAAGGTAATTTTTCTCTCAAATCTGTATTACATCATCTGGTAATAAGTAAACCTTTGTAAAACCATGGACTTACCCTTTTTCATTAAGGAGGCAATTGCATTCTATAAGCCCTTCCTAGTGCAAGGTGTGAAATGAGCGTGGTGGAATTTACTTGTGTAAGACAATAGGCGTTAGGCATCACAGGAATCCAGGGTGTCATATGCTCTACTACATCCCAAAACCAATGTGCTTTTTGATCATGATCTATGTGGCTTGTTTTTTGTTTTTGTTAGGAATTAGGACTGAAGTTTTCCCAGTTCCCTCTGCTTTGTCAAAAATGAAGATTTTCTTTTCCTTTAAAGGGCTATATAGTAAATATCTTAGACTTTGTAGACTATTCTGTCTCTGAGACAACTATTCGACACTGCCAATGTAGTGTCAAAGCAGTTGTAGACATGAATGGGCATGGCTCAAAAAGTAGGGAGAGAGATCTTTCTCAAATGGGAGGGGATTAAGCGGTGGAGGAAAGGGGAGAGAAGGGAGGGAAAGAGGATGAAAAAAAGAATTAAGATGTGTTATGTACACATACCACCTCCACACAAAGAATGTAAACACTATGTACTGCAAACATGTGCTAATAAGAATAAATACAAAATTTGCAAAAACATGTGGATGTAAACCATTTCACCTGCATTAGAGTACATTTTGGGGAACACATGAGAATTGCTGGGCAGTCCAAGGCCTGACCCAAGATCCTACATAAAAATGTTTTCTGTTCCTAATAAATATTGAGCAAGGAGTAATAGTGCAGTCTTATTGCTCTGTAGTGTAGAGCCTGGGAGACCAGCACTTTTTTGAATCTTAGAGCCCCTTCACCATTCTGCTTCCAAGGGTTAGAGCTGCATTCCTGCACATCCTGTTTTCTATGAATGGCGCCCCATGTAATTGTGCAACATGACGCTCTAAAATGATGATATCTGGGCATACTGTCAATGCCTTCCCTGCTCTAGTCTATTACAACTCTTCTCTTTCTCCATTCTGCACAAGTTTTATTGAAATTTGGATTAGTAATAGAAAACTGGCTCACACTGAAAACATTCTTTCAAATATCATCTACAGCAAACATTTTGTGCAGATGTGTGGCTCAGTGGTAGAGCTCTTGCTTAGCCTGTGAAAGGTCTTGGTTTTGATCTCCAGAAACTGCCCTTCACCAGACTTGTTTGGAAAGGGTCTGGCAGCATTACTTCATCTTAGTATGGTCAATTTTTGAGTACTTAAAAAACTAGTTTAATTTGTCTTTTTAAATCTTTCTGTAATGAGCATGAATTTCTTTACAATAAAAACATTTTTATAGGAAAAGATAAATCAATTCAGGAAAAGTGTGAGTCAAGGACACATTGAGTACATCTCAGAGGTCAAGATCATGCAAGACCATTATCATATTTTCCCATGAAATACCTTTGGGTGCCAGTCAAAAATTAGAGTGAGCTATATCTAATATCAGTCTAACTCAGCACGACATTTCTTTTTGCTTTTATACTAATGCTTAAAAGCTTGAAACTCTGCACTCTATTCAATACATTTCATCAATTATTTATTGAGCACCTACTATGTGCCAAGTATTATGAAAACAGGATTAACAAGACACGGTTCATTTGCAGTTTAAGTCAATAATTGCCCTTCTAGAAATGTATATCTATTTGAAAATCTGATGGTTATTTTGATACTATTCTTCAAGGCAAAAAACGTCATGTAATGTTCAAAAAATTTAAACTTGAATAATCAATATTTTCATTGCTTTAACAATGTAGGATTATGCTGAATCATTTTGACAAAAAAAAAAAACCCTCACGTATTTGTGGCTCTTCACTAAGGCATCACTACTATCCTACTTCTGAATCAATAGAATTTCAATTCTTTCACTTGTTTTGGAAGAAATTATTTCAATCTGTTAGGTCCTTGAGCCAAAACTCTCTGACTTTGAGATCCTGACTAGGTTTTCATGAGGCAAAACTGTTTTTAAAATTTAAATCAAGGCATATGTTTCAAACTAAAGTTGCTAAGTCCTGGCTAACCAACAATTACACAATTAAACTAAACATATTTAAATTCGGGCTTAGTGAATCTGCACAGTCTTACTCATTACATTATATACTGCAGTTATGTTATGAGCTAAAATTTTATTTCGCTTAAGTAATTTTAATTTTTTCCTTTTTGTTTTTCATTAATTATTATTGCTACATTCAGGAGTTGTTTTTTTTTTTTAATGATGATTGCCTTGGTTTGGAGTTTACATTAACTAGAATGTCAGGGACTTGGAGATATCTTGGACATAATACTGGTTTTTGTGAAGATAAACTTAAGCTCAGAAGTGAAGTAACTTGTAGGATTATAAGTTGTTTTGCACAGTGCCTCATGAAACAGGGTTATGTGAAAAGTAGTATCGATTAGTACATTGTCTTACGGATTCTCGATCTTGCCCCAGATTATTTGTCCATACTGTTGTGTACAGCCATTCTTTGGACCTGCACTGTACTCATGACAGTACATATTGATTTCTTCATGGTTTTTGATGGATTTATTCACTTAATACATATTTATTAGGCATCTACTCAGTGCCAGGTACTGGTCTTAGCCCTGATTTAAATGTTATCAAATGATTAACCAGTGGAACTGTTTCAAATCCATATAAAGGAGAATTCTGTGGCTGGTTGTGTGTGGTATATACACATGCATACATGGGGAAGAGAGAGGGTGAGATGGTTCTCTCTTCTTTCCCGAGTAAACTCTGCCCAATTTTCTAACTTAACTGCCATTATATGCTAAACATGCGCTACTAAAATAAACTTTTTTTCTGAGAAGTATATATATGCTAAAGCTCTGGATTTTGATGATGAAATGCTAATTTTCCTTTCATAAATTCTTCATTTCATACTTTTGAATAGGATGGTACTTTCAAAAACTCTGCATCTGATTAGATTTGGGACACTAAACATTTCAGCACAATAATACATTTATTAGGCTTGCAGCACTTTAAATTTTACTGTGAAGTAGAAAAACCTTTAAGACTTTGCTTTCAGAATGATATAATAGTACAAATAATGTATGAAATTTTACAAGTAATGCCAGATTCAGAAATATTGCTTTCCCTGGTTAAATTATCTCTTGCCATTGTGAAATTGACAGCCAGTTTTTAGCAACTTCTGATCATTTTTATGTATTTTTTTTCTTTTCACTCCTCAGGCAGCAGCTTGGTCTTTTATTTGCTTGTGCTCCCTTTTTTGTGGGTCTGCCCTGGCTTCTCTTTTCAGTTGTTATTTGATGTTACTAGTCTTGAGGCCCCCACCTCTTGGCCCTTGGATTCCAGATTGCTCTTCTATATCCATCTGTTCTATCCTGATTGTCAGTGAAAATTGTTGCCCTTCGCCTGGTGAAACATCACAACTCTGACAGTCTTTGGCTCCTGCTTCATTCAGAGGTGGGTGGTGCACAGAAGGGATGTAGACTTCTTGGTCAAACATTTAGGATTTCTCTGAAATTCCTCAAAGATTAACATCAAACAGCTAAGAATGTTGTAGCACTGAAAATAAAGAGGGAGGTAATTTAACGTTTTCAGCTGTGAACTGAAGGACAAACACTACAGAGTTTGCACGGTAACATATACAATTATCTCCTGAATGTTTTTTGTGGGGTGGGGTGGGTGGAGGAGCAGCTTAAAAATTGTTTTTATGTACTGGTATTAAAATGTCACCAATGAACAAAAGTCTCTCTTAATGCTTACAAAATAACCATATTGCACAGAACATGCAATTACCTAAGTTTTAAACTCAGTTCATATAGTATAAAATATGTATTACTGTGGATGCTAAAACCGATGCCACTGACTGGCCAAGTAAGACTATACTTGTTGATATTGTACAAATCAGTATTTTAAACTTACTTTTAATCACACATAACACGAATAAATCAGCAAATAAGCAGTCTTAGAGTATGTGTCAAAAGAGTAGGAGGAAGGCCACAGCCAATCTTTACTGAAAAATCTGCCACCGTGAAATTACACGTTATCCAAAGAGTTTTAAGCTATTTTTCCATTTATATCCCTCCATCTCAAAAAGTTTTGAGATAAAGCCAAATAAATGAGTTCCTAGTGATGTTCAAAGTCCTGATTTGGGTTTGCCAAGGGCACAGCAACAGATGGAACGCTGGAATGGAAAGTTGTAAATATTCTAAAAGGGAAAATACGATTTAAAAAATTGCCGAAAAACAATGGTAAAACCTAAAATTTTCCTAGAATCTGTGTTCTCACCTTGCAGAATAGATGTTGAGCTTTTAAACAAACCTACAGTAAAAGTTAAGCCCTCTCTAGGAAACCACGATCTCTTTCCAAACAAGGACAGGGGAGTGCTGACTATTGCCACCGCTTTCAGTCTCCTCTGGGAATCGGTAGCAAACTAGGAAGGGGAGGTGCGCCCCAAGTTGACAAGACTCTGCCAAATACCAGAGGCTCCTCTTCGGGAGAGGGAGGCGCTCCTTTGGACGTGAGGCGCCCCTGCCAGAGCTGCGCACAGAAACGGAAACCACTAGCTGCCCTGAAGGGAGTCAAGTGATGAAATCAGGACTACACGGGGAGGAGGCTCACCAACCTAACTGGTGACAAAAGCTGCTGAAACCTGCCCGTGGAAACCACACCAGCCTACAGTTACTGCCTTCGCGAAGTGTGGTCTTGGAGGCACCACACCCCTCCTACCTTTTGGCTAACTGGGCTTGGGTATCTAGACTTGGTTCCCCAAGCACACGGACTGTGTTCTGGCGACAAGGTGACCACTGCCCCTGGGCAGGGCAGGACTCCTCGAGCGTGGAGCGGCCGGTAGAGGGGCTCGCGGGGAGCTGCGGCTTCGCGGAGCGGAGGGATCGACCCCGCCCAGTGCGCGGCGCTCACCTGGAGCCTCAGGTAGGGCTGGGCGGGGCCGAGGCAGGCGCGCAGGCGCGGACAGGGCCTCGCCCGGCAGACTCCGCTGGGGGAGCTCACCTGGGAGACTCGGGAGGAAGCGGAGCCTCTGTGCGGCCGCTCCGGGGAGCGCGGGAGGCCCAGTGGGCAGGCAGGAGGCGGTGGCGGAGGAGGAGCTCGGCAGAGCTGTAACTGTAGCGACAGCAACTGAGGCGCCGCGGCGGCCACCTGCGCCCGACTCCCGGCCCACGTCCCGCTCCCGCCCGCCCGCCGCCGGCTGCCCTGCCCACGCCAGGTAAGCGGCCGGGGCGGGCGGGGGGCGGCAGCGTCGGAGGGGAGGCGCGGCCGGTGGGAGAGGGGCTCTAGAGCCGGGCTGCAGCTGCCCCTCGGGGGAGGCCGAGCGGGGAGCCGAGCCGGGGGGGGGGGCGAGGTCGGAGCCCCGGCGGCGAGGATCTCGGGTGGGGCGGCCGCGCTTCCCCGTGGGCAGCAGGTCGCCGGTCTCCTCCCTCCCTCTGTGCCGAGGAGGCCGAGCCTGCCACGGGGCCGGAGGGCAGGGCTGTGCCCGGCAACTTTCCCCGCCGGATCCCCGACGGCCCAGGCTGCGGACCGCGGCTTCCTCAGGTTTGGAAGGCGCTCTGCGGTCGGGATGCCGACACCCCTCTCGCTCTGTGCAGACTCGGCACTTTCGCGGTGCACTCGCTCCCAAGCCATGCTGGACCCCCTTTCCAGCGGGATCGGGAAGAGTTCGGCAGGAAATAAACTACCACGCACCAGCTGTGCACCGTCTCCTCCGAGGACCTGTTGACTTAGGGACCGGCGTATCGCCGCCGTGGTTGCCCGTGGCATATGACTCAAAGGTTCAGTAAAACTTTCAGGATCCTGCCACGTCTGAACCTGGGAGTGCCAGGCCCAAATTCCTCTCCCGTCTAATTAGGCTTTTTCTGGAGCCTAAGAAATAGGGTGAAACTGACGCCTACCTTACTTAGACTTTTATTTCCTTCTCTCTCAAACTCATCAAAGAACTCTTTCTGGTTTTGGAGCCCCACCTAGTTATCCATTTTATTAACTTTTAGAACATGTTACTATACCTTTGCTGTAAGGTAAAAGGCATAATGAAGACATTTAAAAGTTTATTATTAAAATCAGAAAGTGACTTTGAGAGCTTCTAGTTGCAGGAAAATCTGTTGCTTCTTTTATTATAGATTTTTTTCTTTGAGTTTGTGGCTAAAATACATTAGGTTTAAAGACACACCTTGCAATTAGATTTGTTTAAATTTAACTTTTACTACTAATATTCTCAAGTCTAGTGTACATCTTTAAACATTCTGACCAGTTTATTTGTATCAACTATTTTTCTCTTCATATTGTTTAACCCATTATTTTTACATAGAAATTTCTCATATTAAATAGCAATTCCACACCCTAAGTATGTTTAGTTCTTGCTTTGCTAATTTTTAAATATATTTTTAAATTGGACATTTAACTTAAAATACCTTAGGCAATATATATATATATAGTTTTAAAAGAAGGTGCAATTAACAGCTAAAAACACACCACCACCAAAGCATAAATGGTCATAATTGTTCATTCAACCAGGACATTTCTGCTTTTCTCAAAAGAGCCTCACTTGCCCTCTTAATATTGTTTCCATACAGAGAAATAAATCGCTAAATACTGTTTAAAAATTAGAATAGGTGCTGCTGTCTGTATTTTGAATATTAATTTTCATTGGTTATTGGGCAGGTGTTGTCAGACTGTCTTTATTTTTACCTGGAGGGAGAAATGTAACATGTTTTTTGTTAGCTGGAGTAACTGAAGTGCCTCAATTTCTGTTTGTAAAGGAGGCAGGTGCTTCCTTATATCACGATAATGAGGCCTTAAAAGAATCAGAATTTCCTTTAGTCTTAGCTTTCTTAGGCTTTCCTTCTTGCTCTGAATATCCAGTCAACACATCTTGCTGGTAAATAAACTGAAGCTGACTGGGTATCCTAACTTCACTTCACCCTGCAGGTTAGTGCTAGAGATAGCAGTATGATTCCAGTGATTGGAGTCCTATGTCATTACATTTCACCACCCACATTCTCACTCATCAGAAGATGTTTATCTTTTCTTCTTTAGTGTAGTTTGTAAGGCTTTTGTAATTAGAGAGGAGCCCATTGTTCTCTGTCCAGCTCTGATTTACTTAAATTTCTGTGTGTCCCAGGGATGCTTGTTCAGTGGAGACTCAGTGAGGCCTTCATGTTCCTTTTCTGCTCATGGATCACATGGATATTGAAGATGCCATGTGGATTGAAAGTTCTAATCCTTTCTTGGTATTTCATAGCCACAGTTAATTTTTTGAGCCAACTTGAACAACATTATTTATTCTTCTGATCTTTTATTATATTGGCTTAAAACATATTTTATAAGGCAGTGACCCAGTGTCTTCCATCCATTTGCAATACTCTAGATTTTTGGTTTCAGGCACATATCTTTAACAGTAATATTTTTAAAACTTCAATTCTTGGTTGAAAAAAAAGGCATTCAGTGTTTTAACTCAGTACCCTCTAGTGTGTGCTTATAATACTGAAACAAGTTTCACAAAACAATACTTATAACATGAATGTTCTTTATTATTTTTAAAAATTGGCCTTAACACGCTAGATTCATTTTATGAGAACAGTATGAAAATGGTGCTATTGTGTTGAATCTACACTTTTAAGGCTCATTTTTCTGCCAGTTTTCTGTCTGTCTCTCATACACGAACACACACAAGAAAAATTACTTTTTTTGTAAAATTATATTGTAATGCTAATTAAACATTTTGTTGGGGGGCTTGAGGCTGTAGGACTTTGATGTTAGAGTAAATCTCTCAAACAATAAGGCTCTGAAATGTCATTGTACATTATTGTATTTTCTTTCTTTCTTTCTTTCTTTCTTTCTTTCTTTCTTTCTTTCTTTCTTTCTTTCTTTCTTTCTTTCTTCTGGTACTAGGGGTTGAACTCAGGCCCTTGTGCTTGCTAGGCAGGCATGGGACCAGTGAGCTAAATCCCTGGCCCCCATTATTGTATTTTCAACGGGTTCTTAGACTATTTGGTGGGGGGGGAAACTTGAAATTTTTTCTGAGGGGGGTTTGAGGGGAATAATTATCAAGTGAAAGTTTGAGAAAGAAAAATAATTCAATGCACTCTGTTTTCATTCTAATTTTTGTGGCTGAGTTCTGAGTTTTGGATGGGAGTCTGAAAGAATTATTAGAGAAAAACATAGTCCAAATTGTTGTTTTCTTTCTTGTTTGCTTGCTTTCTTGCTTTTCCCCTTCCCCTTCTCCTCCCTTCCTTCTTTCTTTTCACTTTGAGACAAGGTCTTGCTAAATTGTCCAGGCTGGACTTCAAATTTCCATCCTCCCGCCTCAGCCTTCCTACTAGCAGAGATTACAGGTATATGCCAACATGTTCAACTGTATTTTGTATTTGTATCTTTTTTATGAAACAGGTGTAAGATTTGAATTATGGGAATCGGATCTTTTCCCCAAAAAGATTAGAATGAGAGAAAAGATTGGATCTCTAAGTAATGTGTAGAGATACCATCTTGGAAGCTCTGATTGAAAAATTAAACTTTCATAGAAGCTTTCAATTTTAACCTATTTTCACATTCATGGTTGCAGGAACTTTTCTTCTAAAGAAAATATTATCGTATCTAATATTTTGGAATTAATACCTGAATCATCATCAGAAATATTCAGTTGTCTGGTCCATGATACTTTTGGAATGATAGATCTTTTATGGGTGTAAAAGCTTATTGAGAAGAAAGGAAGTATTTTCAATTACCTGTCCAATTATGTATCTAGTTAATATCAGAATAATTCATATTTAATTTGGGTAATTTTAGCATAATTAATGTTAATATAATTAATGTTAATGTCAATAGCAACACTGAATTCAAATCAGTTCCATCAACGGCAAGGGAACAAAGTGCATAAAGTTATGTCACAGAAAAGACAAGTAGAGCCAAAACTCCTTGAGTCATTTTCTGAATTGGGCTCATATTTCTGGGACTTAATAGAGTATTTCTCTGAGTGCACTTTTCCCTATAATTCTTGCAATTTCAAAATGTTCAAATTGAGATTTCTTATCTACATGAGTGCCTGCTGGACAGCTTTAAAGTTGTTTTAATAACTAAGATTATACATGTGTACCAGGATCTTCACTACATCAAACAAACTGCTTTACTCCCTGAATTCTGTCTATGGATGTTATTATTTTTAATATTAGTACTTTTAGTACTCTTATCCATAATTCCACAATCAGTCTCCAAAAAGAAACTAAAGCTTAACCTCATTTGGAGCAAAATATGAGTGAACTATCAGGAATCTATTACCTAGCTGCTTGGCACATGGATTCTTACTGCAGAAAGAGTACCAAGTTTCATTACATCATACCGCCCAGGCCTTGCTGGGGTGTATCTGAGCTACATCACCTTTCTTACATGCAAAAAGTTTGGAATTTTGGAAAACATTTGACTCTAGGAATTTGGAGGACTAGATTATAGATCTGTACTACTACCCTGGGCATCATGTCAGAAATCCAGAGGTCATCTTAAACTCTCTTTTCATAGCCTTCACAACAGCTGCTGTCTGCATATTTGTGTTCCTCCAAAATTCATATGTTGAAATCTAATCCCGAAAGAGTTGGTATTAAGTATAGGTGAGGGCCTTGAGAAGTGCTTAGTTCATGAGGGTTCTGACTTCACAAATGCGATTTATAAAAGAGGCCGAAGGGAGTTTGTTAGGCTTTTGCTCTTCTACCATGTGAGCAACGGGCCCTCCCAGACATTGCATCTGCCATTATCTTGGTCTCATACTTCCTCAGCCTCCAGATTGTGAGCAGTAAGTTTCTGTTTATAAATCACCCATTGCAAGGTATTTTGTTATAGCCAGCCCAAACAGAATAAGCCATCAATCATCAGACCGATGAACTGGCCCAGCATCTTATACCTTTTCTCCCCCATAATCATCGGTTTGTTGG